ATATTCTGAGTAGAGGTTCTAATAGTGGCACAAATCAAGTTACAGAAGTAAGGTGGTTCCATTGCCATCCTTACTCTAACTTAATTTTTTTTTTTAATTTAAATTTGTTATTAATTTCAGTGAAAATTTACAGAGGCTTTGGATTTCCATTCATTCATTGTTGTAATCATTCTCATTTTATAATGCACTTAGTATAGAATCAACTTTGAACAGTGTCTTTTGAAGAGAATCTATGAATGTTTGGAAAATATTTTTAAAAGTCACCATGTCATTGACATTTCTTAATTCAAGAAAACCTAACTGAGCTTTGGGGTTAAAAAAAGCGGTGTGTGTGTGTGTGTGTGTGTGTGTGTGTGTGTTAATAGAACCACAGGACGGCTTCACTTTTCCCTGATGTTACTTACAGAAGCAGCCAGCTAACAGCATGGATTTCTGTATTCTATTTAATCATGTTACATTTTTACTGAAATGAAGGGCTCGTTGTCATTTCTGCTCTGCTAATAGAAGTGATACGTACTATTTGAATGTATCAGAGCAATTTTTTTTAATTTTACAGTTATCAATAAATCTTTTGTTGTTGTTGAGAATATGCACAGAAAAGCATACAGCAATTCAACAGTTTGCGCATGTACAATTCATAATACGGATTACATTCTAAATCTTGAAACAACATCTTTTGATTTGTTCTTCACTATACTTTAGTTTTCTTGTCCGATTGGTGTTAGTAATGTAATCCCATATGAGCAACATTAGTTAAAGAGTACAACATAACTGCACCAGGGGAGCTCTGGTGGTTTAATCGTCAGGAATTGCACTGCCAATACAAAGGTACGTGGTTGGAATCCATGAGTTGCTCCATGGGAGAAAAATGGGCACTTCTGTGCAGTTTACTGCTGCTAAAACCCCCTGAAGGGTCAGCTGTGAGTTGATTCTGACTCGATGGTACTCAACAATAATGTAATTGTGCTCTTCTCCCTGCAATTCCCCTTGCCTTCCTGGGCTTTATATCCTTGGTCAAATGCTGCTCTTTTTAAGCTTATATGGTTGTTTATTCAAAGGAGTGAGTGCTTACTTGGTGCTACTGTTAACCATACAGACCTAGATATGTTTGGGAAAAAGTTGATACATGCGGGGTGGGGGGGGGGAGTTTTTTTCAAAGGGTGACTGAGGGCTTTGGGAGTTCTACCAGTCTCTATTGGACTAGTACAACTGCACATTTCCCTCTACCCAATTCAAGACTTTCTACTGTGAGTTCTTTTAGAGTGGTAGGAGTGCTAGCCGCGCAACATCTAGTTGTTTGGATCTCAGTGTTGTGGAAGTTAAGGTTCCAGAAGTTGTTTAGTTGATTCTGTACATCTTTGCTTTTCTTCCTTTGTTTCAGACAGGGAGAGACCAATAGTTTACACCTTAGTGACTGCATTTAAGACTCACCAAAGGAAGGTGTATTAGGCCAGTTAATTGAGATGTATCATGAGACCATGACCTTCAAACTAAGAACCAAAATCCATTTAGTATAGTCTTAATGAAGTAAAGTTTGTAATTTTTGTTGAGTGTATCAGATAACTGGGTATTGAACATACCATGGGCTACCAAGAGGACAAACAGGTCTGTCCTGGAAAGGGTGAAACCAAGTTGTTCCTTGGAGGTCAAGATTTTGAAGCTCTGTCTTACTTACTTGGGACATGTGGCCAGGAGGGGCCAGTCCTTGGAGTCATGCTTAGAAAGGTGGAAGGACAGTGCAAGAGAAGAAAACGCTGGATAAGATGGATTGATGCAGTTACTGGGATATTGGAGATAGGTGTGTTAGAGACCGTGAAATTTTCTCAGGATAAGGCAGGATTCATAGGATTGCTATGATTCACATTTGATTCGCTGTACATAATAGCAGCAACATTTCTCATTTGTTTTCTCTCTTGCCATTTATTCTTCTTTTGTTATTAAGTAATTCTTAAGCCATGTAATTATTTATCGGTTAATTCACTTTTAAATTTTATAATATTAGCTAATAAAGGGAAAAATTATTTCTCGCAGTATCATTGGCTCATATGCTAATTTCGTCACATCTCCTACGTTGAGTATGTGAATACTATGTGAATGTGTACTGGGCAAGAACTTCATAAATATAGAAGTATGTGTATTGTTAGTATACATAGGAATAAAGATATGTGACATTTAGGTTGTTGATACTCCTGGAATTTTGGATCATCCTCTGGAGGATCGGAACACCATTGAGATGCAAGCCATCACAGCACTGGCACACTTACGTGCTGCCGTCCTATACATGATGGATCTATCTGAGCAGTGTGGTCATGGATTGAAGGAGCAACTTGAACTCTTCCAAAACATCAGGCCTTTGTTTATCAATAAGGTAAATATACTAACTAGTATATTCATTTATTACCTGCAGTATGAAGATATTAATTCTATTATTTTTCTTATTTGCTAGCCACTTATTGTTGTAGCAAACAAATGTGACGTGAAGAGAATAGCTGAACTTTCTGAAGATAATCAGGTAAATCATTTAAATATTTTATTTAGTAATTATAATATCAGTGCTGCTTCACACCAAGTTCAGATCTCTTTTTGACTGAAATATAAAAAAAATACCTTAGCTCACTTAGTGCAGTGGCAGCCTTGAGGTATGGTTTTCCCCCTCCACCACCTGTGACCTGCACTAAACAACCATGTCCAAGGGCCCTGCAGTTGGCGTTGATCTTGGCACCACCTACTCCTGTGTAGGGGTCTTCCAGCATGGGAAAGTGGAAATCATTGCAAATGATCAAGGCAACCAGACCACCTCAAGCTATGTCACATTTACCCATACCGAATGATTGAATGAATCCTACTAACACAGTATTCGATGCCCAACGTCTCATTGGATGAAGATTTGATGATGTTGTTGGGCAGTCTAATATGAAACACTGGCCCTTCATGGTGGTGAACGATGCAGGCAGGCCCAAGGTCCAAGTCGAATATAAAGGAGAGACCAAAAGTTTCTATCCAGAAGAGGGGTCCTCTGTGGTTCTCATAAAGATGAAGGAAATTGCAGAAGCCTACCTTGGGAAGACTGTTACCAATGCTGTTGTCACTATACCAGCCTACTTCAGTGACTCTCAGCACCAGGCTACCAAAGATGCTGGAACCATTGCTGGCCTCAGTGTCCTCCGAATCATCAATGAGCCAACTGATGCTGCTGTTGCTTATGATTTAGACTAAAAGGTTGGTGCTGAAAGGAATGTACTGATCTTTGTCTTAGGAGGTGGCACTTTTGATGTGTCAGTCCTCACTGTTGAAGATGGGATATTTGAGGTCAAGTCTATAGCTGAAGACACCCACTTGGGTGGAGAAGACTTTGATAACAGAATGGTCAACCATTTCATTGCAGAGTTCAAGTGCAAGCATAAGAAAGACATCAGTGAAAACAAGAGGGCTGTCAGATAGATGCCCCTGCACTGCTTGTGAGCATGCAAAGCGCACACTTTCTTCTGGCACCCAGGCCAGTATTGAGATAGATTCTATGTATGAGGGAATCGACTTCTGTACTTTCATTACCCGAGCCAGCTTTGAAGAATTGAGTGGCACTCTGGACCCTGTGGAGAAAGCCCTGAGGGATGCTAAGCTAGACAAGTCACAGATTCATGATATTGTCCTGGTGGGTGGTTCTACCAGAATTCCCAAGATTCAGAAGCTTCTTCAGGATTTCTTCAATGGAAAGGAATTGAACAAGAGCATCAACCCAAATGAGGCTGTTGCTTATGGTGCAACTGTCCAGGCAGCCATTCTCTCTGGAGACAAATCTGAAAATGGTCAAGATTTGCTGCTCCTGGATGTCACTCCACATTCTCTTGGTATTGAAACTGCTGGTGGAGTCATGACTGTCCTCATCAAGCGGAATACTACCATTCCTACCAAGCAGACGCAGATCTTCACAACCTACTCTGACAACCAACCTGATGTACTCATTCAGGTCTATGAAGGTGAGCATTCCATGACCAAAGATAATAACCTGCTTGGCAAGTTTGAACTCAGTGGGATACCACCTGCACCTCGCGGTGTTCCTCAGATTGAAGTCACATTTGATATTGATGCCAATGGTATCCTTCATGTTTCTGTTGTTGACAAGAGCACTGGGAAAGAAAACAAGATTACCATCACCAGTGATAAGGGCCGCTTGAGTAAGGAAGACATTGAACGAATGGTCCAGGAGGCTGAGAAGGACAAAGCTGAATATGAGAAGCAAAGAGATAAAGTGTCTTCTAAGAATTCCCTTGAGTCTTACGCATTTAATATGAAAGCAGCAGTTGAAGATGAAAAGTTCAAGGCAAGATCAATGATGAGGACAAGCAGAAGATCCTTGACAAAGTGCAATGAAATGATCTACTGGCTTGATAAGAATCAGACTGCAGAAAAGGAGGAATTTGAGGATCAGCAGAAGGAACTAGAGAAGGTCTGTAACCTCATCATCACCAAGCTGTACCAGAGTGCTGGGGGCATGTCCGGAGGCATGCCCAGCGGCTTCCCTGGTGGTGGAGCTCCTCCGTCTGATGGTTTTAAAATCTGCTTGTTTGCTTTTTACCTCAAAGTATCTTGTATAAATTTATGAGAATTCTTTTGTATAATTTTTCCAACTATTTTGATGTAGTGGTCCTTTTTTAGGAGAAATCTTTTAGGGTATTTGTTTTGACAGCATTATACTAGAATATTGGTTCTTTTTTTAAACTTTACTTTGAGTGAAAGTTTATGGAGCAAATTAGTTTTCCATTCAGTTGTTCTTAGCACATGTTGTTTTGTGACTTTGATTACAGTCCCCACATCATGACATTCTCATTTTCATTCATCCTTTTGTCCTATCCCTTCCTACAATCTGTCCTTTGTAAGTAGGCAAATTTTATCTTTTGGTCTTCAGTGGCTTATTGTTCTAAGGAGTGATGAGCTCCCTCATAATATTGTTCACCTTATAAAACTGCTTGTTACATGAGTAAAAGTTGAGCTACAGGACTTGAACTACTTCTGGACTTGAAGGATAACCAAGATCATAGTCTCAGTGTTCCACCAGTCTCTGTCAGACTGGTAAAGCTGACCTGCTGTTCTTACCATTTTGTTCCACATATTTCTCCACTTTGCCAAAGGCCTTCTGACTTTCTATTGTAATCTCTTTCACAGTGTTAGTGGTACTCAAATGTCCTCTAGTTCTTTCAGTCCCTGAGTTATGGAAGTTGAGGTTTATATGGTCCATTAGAACTTTGCATAATTGTTTTCATTTTCTTCTCTTTAGAGAAAGGACTCCTTAGATGACCACTCACTTTTAAGTTTTTAAGACCTTAATCACTGCTCATCAAAGTGGGTTGTAGAGGATGTCTTTGTGAACTGATTATACCAAGTGACCTTGATATTCCCCAGGAATGTGGTCCTGAGGCCCTAGGCCTAGCAACTGATTACTTCCAGGTGTTTGGTTATGGCCAAGAAGCTAAATAACTTTGCTTATTTTTACTCTACTGTATATGTGAACATATTTATAGCACATACAGATAAACATGTAGAAATACCATCTACTAAATCTTTGTATGAATGTCTTTGTGTATGACCATAGGTTATAATAGGAGTGGTTATTGTTAAGTGCTTTCGAGTCGTAGTTGACTCTTAGTGACCCTTTGAATGAAAGACCTGAACACTTGTATAACTTTCGTCATTTCTCCAAGTTCATAGGGTTTCCAGAGGCAAGCTATTTTGAAAGTGCCACTCCTGCTTCCAAGCTTGTTTTAATTGGGGAGCTGCACCAAACACTGTCCACCACGGGTAACCATTATCACATTTTGACACATCAGTGTCACAGTGTTCAGCTTTACAGCAACCATGAGTTACCTCTATACAGCAAGTGAACAGACCAGGGCTATATGACCTAGAAGAATGTTTGACCAAAAACAATTAAAACCAGGCCTGAGGGCTGCAGATTAAAGTCACTCACCTTTGGCTTGGTAGCATCACTTTCTGTACACTAGGCCAACTGAGTTCTCTCTATGTTGTTGTTGTTATGTGCCATAGAATCATAGGCCTTAAAATAGAGTCCTGGTGTGGGGCACCATTAGTATCACTTTTACCTTTGATGTTGTTAGAAACGCACATGATTTAGTAGTAAGGAATTGCACTACCAATGCAAAGGTACATGGTTTGAATCCACTAGCTGCTATATGGGAGAAAGGTGGGTATATGGTCCCTTGTGATTTACTGCCTCTGAAAATCCACTGGAGGGTCAACTATGAGTCACTGGTGCTGGAGATGAGTCTTGAACATGCCATAGATTGCAAAGAAAACAAATAGATCTGTCTTGGAAAGGGTGAAGCCAAATCTCTCCTTGGAAGTTAGGAAGCTCTGTCTCACATATTTTGGGCATGTGGCCAGGAGAGACCTTCAAGAAGGACATTGTGCTAGCAAGAGTTGAGGGACAACTCAGGAGAAGAGGACCCTGGATGAGATTGATTGATTGATTCAGTATCTGGGAGAGTGGGGGTTGGTGAATTAGTGAGTCTGGCTCAGGACAGGGAAGGATTCAGAGCTGCTACACATAGGATCGCTGTACATTGCAGGCGACTCAACCGCACATAACAAAAACATACTATATTGGTTGGTTTTTTAAGCCTCTTGTTTTGAGTCAGTATGACCTCGAGGAGGGCCTTTGTATTTAAAGTTAGTTGTTAATATATTTTGGAGGAACATTCTTCTAAGTGGTACAGCACTCTTCTGTCAGTATGCTATTCTGAGGTCACCTGGCATTGCTGTAATGCCGAACCTTGTGTCATTGGGGTATTAAATGCTATAACGGTTACAAACGGTGGACAGTTTGGTGGAGTTCCCAGTTTAAGGTAGGTTTGGAAGCAGGAGTCACATCCATTTCCTAAACAACATGCCTCTGGAAACTATGAACTTGGTTCAATGTCAGTAGTTATAGAAAGACTTCAGACCTTTTGTTCATAGGGTTGCTATGAGCCACGCTCAACTTGACGGCAGTCAACAACAACAGTTGTATAAACACAGACCTCCAATAGTTGACTTGTCTTTGAAGAACTCAAATATGTCCTAAGTTTAGCTTTCATTTTTCAGTCTAAAATACAGTTTAATGAAAGGAAGAGAAGTTTTATGGTTGCTAGAAATACTTTTCAGTGTTCTAAAAAGATAGACAGGTTTTCTTGCCATATACAAATGATATGATAGTGTACAGAGAACACATCAAACACTCAACAGAAAAACTGTTGGAACTAGTGGACCAATTTAGTAGAGTGGCAGGATAGAAGATTAACATAGTAACAAAACTCCATAGTAACAAAACCCAGAGAAGGAAACCAAGAAAGCAGTACCATTTACAAATTGAGATACCTAGGAATAAACCTGGCTAGAGATAAAAAAGACATTAACAAAGAAGACTACAAAACACTTGTCCAAGAAACAAGACCTACAAGGAGATTGAAAAGGCAGTTGTGAAGTTACTTGTAGATGAAAGAGATTTCACAAAAGCAAAAGCAAAACACTTCTGAAAAAAATTAAGTGGGAGGCAAAGCACTCCTTGATTGTAAAACCTACCATACAGCTGTAATATCCGAAAGAGCAGAACTGAGAATCCAGAAATGGACCTATCTATCTATTGTCAAGTGATATTTGACAAGGAAATAAAGCCTATCAAACAGGAAAATGACATCCTCTTCAACAAATGATACTGGCAAATCTGGACTGTTACTTGCAAAAAAGCTAAAATGGGATCCATATCTAACACCATACACAAAAATAAACTCAAGATGGATCAGACATCTATGAATAAACCTCAAATCGTAAAATTGATAAGAGACAAACAGACTCAACTGAGAAGCTTTAGTCTGTGGTATAAGGAGGCTGACAAATACAGCGAGAAATATACAGTCAGAAGAGAATAAAATTGATGAATGAAACCATCTAAATATTAAATCCCTGTGTGCATCAATAACTTTCCGACAGAGTAAAAATAAAGCCTATGTTTGGGAAAAATCATTTGGTAATAACATCTCAGACAAAGGGTCTCATAACACACACAGAATACTATATGACTTCCAGAAGAAAAAGACTGATAACCCAATTACAAAATGGGCAAAAGAAATGGAAAGAATTTTAACAGAGGAAGACATTTGGATGACTAACAGACACATGAAGAAATACTCAAAGTCACTGACAATAAGAGAGATGCAAATAAAAACCATGATGAGGTACCATCTCACAGCAGTAGTGGCAAAGTTTAACAGGGCAGCAAGCAATAGACATTGGGAAAGATGTGGAGAGGTGGGAACGCTCATACATTGTTGGTGGGACTGTAAAATGGTATGGCTATATGGAAGACATCCTATGGAAGACAGCTTGGAGCTTCCTCAAAAAGCTGAACTTAGAAACTCTGTATGGCCCAGCTATTCCACTGCAAAGTATATACCACATGGAAATTAGAACTGAGACACCAACTGAGATTTGTGCACCAATGTTCATAGCTGTATCAGTAACCATCACAGGAATATTGAAACAGCCCAGATGTCAGGCACAGCTGAAAGGATTGAGAAATTGTACATTTACTTTATGGAATATTGTGCAGCATTCAAGAGTAATAATTTTTTAAAAACTATATAACTTGAGAGAGAGTGGAGAGCATTGTGCTGAGTAAACGAACTCAGTCTCGTAAGGACAAATATTGCATAAGACCATTATTGTAAAAATAGAAGGACAACTAGTAAAATAGGTATAGGGGTTCAAGGAAGGAAGGAGTGGGAGGAGAAGGTGAGAATATATAGGGGGGAGTCACAGAATTTCACGGTTTGATAGGCGGAGGGAGGAGGTAAAGGAAATGGAAAAGATCTGGCAGAGACCTGAAAAGACAGGGTAATAGTGAGCCTAGTTCCATGGTGATTAATTTTATAGAACGCAATATATGGAAATGATTGTATGAAACATAATATCGATTAAGGCAAGGGTAAAACAACATAAAAATTGTAAGAGTGCTAGTTTAAAATCCACCCAATGACATCATAGAAGAGAGGACTGAAAATCTAGAAAAGATGATGGCCAAGAAAACTGTATGGTGCAGTTTTACTATAGGCAGTTCCACATGGGATTGCCATGCATTGGAATCAACTTGACAAACTCACATGCATAAAGACGAAGTAGGTAACGCTAGAAGGGTTGCTTATACTTTGTGATTTGGTGTGTTCAAATGCATTTATTAGCTGTACGGTAGGGGAAAGTTAACTACTAATAACCTGTATGACTCTCAAATTATTTGCCTAATTACGGAATTAATACTGTATATATTATGAGATTGTTGGGAAGACTTAATGAATTGGAAAGCAAGTAGTAGCTACTATAATTTGACTTGAATAGTAACATAGAATCATTGTCTACCCAAAAGTTGTAACTGATTGGTAGTTGATCCTCCAGTCGGTCTTCAGATGTAGTTAATCTTATGGGAGTTGATTGCCCATCATTGTCCTGTCCAAAGGACCTCTGGCGGCACAGAGATTAAGTACTCTGCCACTAACAGAATGGTCGGTGGTTCCTACTTGGCCATGGGAGAAAGATGTGGCTGTCTGTTTGTATTAAGGTTACAGCCTTGGAAACCCTATGGGATGGTTCTCCTTCATCGTGATAGGATCACTCTGAATCACAGTTCAGCCACAGGCAACTAGTTCAGAGCAACAGTGCAAAAAACCAGATCTGAACATTGCCTTATCCTGCGTCAGGATTTCCGAAAACACTCAAGCTCATTGTTAACAGCCACTATGTCCATCCATCTTGTTGAGGATCTCCCTCTCTTACCTTCCACTTTTCCCGCAAGGCCTGGCCCCTTTGAACAACATACCCAGTGTAGTAAAGTAAAATTTTGTGTTTCTTGCCTCTAAGGAGCTGCCTCGTTGTACTGCCTTCTTATTTGCTTGTTCTTTTGGCAGTCCCTGGTACTCTTCTCCATCACTACAAACCAAAAGCATTAGTTCTTCTGCCATCTTTATTCATTATCCAACTTTTAGATGCCTGAAAAATAATTGAAAAGACCATGACTTGGGTTAGGCACATGTTAGTCTTTAACATCCTAGCTTTGACATTTTTTTCTAGTGCAAAACATCTTTTTGATTTCTTGACTACGGAGCCAAGTAAAGATGAAATCAGTGATAAGTTTAATCTTTTCTCTATCCTATCAAGGGTTGTTGGTCTTTTGGTAAGGATTTTTGTTTTCTTGATGTTGAGATATAATCCATATTGAAGTCTTTGATCTTCTGTAGCAAGTATTTCAAGTCCTACTCGTTTCAGTAAGGTAGGCCACGTAATCAATATTATGTAGGTTGTTGGCGCAACTTCCTCTAATCTCAGCGTCACATTCTTCATATAATCCAGCTTCTCACATTTTTTTGCTCAAGACACAACATTTGCACAACTTTCTTGATTTTAAGCGGTTCAGTGTTCCCTTGTTCTGTTTGAAAAACAGCTTCTTAGTCTCTGTATAAATTTTGCATGAGAATCTCTTTTTCCTATGATGTATATTTATTTTTGCACAAACATGCCACTGAAAGTTGGCATAATTGATACTGAAGCCTAGACTTTATAAGACTTCTTTCCACAAGAAAAGGAAATTTCTAAACTTGTTAAGCTAGACCTTATAAAAGTAGAAATAAGTGTTTTTCAGGAGTAGCCTTAAATTAAGAAAAAAATTGTAACTATTTGTCTAATCCATGGTGAAATTTTGAGTTTGAGCTAAATGAAATTTCTAATCAGATTTTGGTGGGTTCTAAGTGTCTAGATTCATAAGAATTTTTATGTTGTTTTCTGTCAGTAAAGCATTAAATGTATTTTAAAGAATTGACATCTTACATTGAAAACATTTCTAGAAATCGAAATCAATACCTTGATTTTACCTGAAAGTTTCATTTTTTTAGCACTTAATAGCTTAGGATGGGGTCGCTGTAATCTGGTTTTTTCCTCACAGTGGTCTGTATTTTCTTCTATTTCTTTTTTAAATAAAATTTTATTTTAATTTTTATTTTAGTGAACCAGAGAAGTTATATTTTCATTCATTCACTTTTGCACATTTTACCCCCATGCCTGCCCTCCCCAAGTTCACTTTTTCCTTTTAATATTCATTCATTGTTAGGTAATTCCTCCCCTGCCCTACTCCTCTTTGCAATGATATATCTCTTATTCTGAGCTGTTGTTGTACAAATACCTAATCATATATTCATTTTAGACAGTTCTTTCTCTCATCTGTTCCAATGCAACGGTCATTATCTATCTACTCTTACCTTATTCTCCTCCCAAATTCTCCACGTCAGACCTGTTTTATAACGATGGTGCTATGCACTATTTGTCCTTTTAAACTGAGATGTTTCACTCAGATTAGTATCTTCTAGGGTCCCCCATGTTGTGTAATCTTTTACAAGTTCATTGTTTTTCAGTGCTGCGTAGTATTCCATTATATGAATATACTGTAGTTTTTCTTTCCATTTATTTGTTGATGGGCATTTGGGTTGCTTCCATCTCTTTGCCATTTTGAGTTACGCAGAAATAAACATGGGAGCGCATGTATCTTTTTGGATGACGGTTCTGGTTTTTTAGGGTATATTCCCCACAGTGGCATTGCTGGGTCAAATGGTATTTCTGTATCCCAAGTTTTTGAGAAAGTGCTAAACTGCCTTCCATAGTGGTTGCACCATTTTGTACTCCCACCAGCAGTGAATAAAGGTTCCAGTCTTTACACGAGCTCACCAGCATTTATTGTTTGCTGCTCTGTTAAACTCTGCTGTTGTTACAGAGGTGAGATGACATCTCATAGTTGGATTTTTATTTTCTTAAACTTGGAATACTATGTGGGGGATGAGGTGGTAATACTAAAGAGTTTTCTTTTGATTTTTAAAATGACTCACAAGTATTAAACAGTGGTGTAACACTCATTTGATTAAATGAGTGCATAATAATGTAAATAATTTTTGCTCTATATTTGCAGAAAATATTTTTAGATTTGCAGACCGAAGGATTTCCTGTAATAGAGGCCAGCACGCTGACTGAGGAAGGTGTTTTTCAGGTTAAAACAGAGGTCAGTGCTTTCTTATGATCCATGATCTATGGTTTTACTATCTTACTTTTGTTTTAAAAGTCTGTCATTGGAGATGGAGGGGAGAGGTGTTGATTTTTGTGTATTGGTGATACCCTGCATACTTCACAGTAGCTAATGAGTAAGTGTTATCTGACTGGAAGAGATCTATATTTATTCCCATTCCAAAGAAAGGTGATCCGACGGAGTGTGGAAATTATGGAACAGTGTCATTGATATCACATGAAGGCAAGATTCTGCTGAAGATTATCCAAAAAACAGCACATAAGCAGAGAACTGTCTGAATTGCTGGCTGGATTTAGAAGAGGCCAAGGCACTAGGGAAATTATAGCTAAGGTCAGATGGATCTTGGCTGAAAGCAGAGAGTACTAGAGGAATGTCTTTATCTATATGTTTCATTGACTGTGCAAAGGCATTAGACTATGTGGATCACAACAAGATGCGGCTGACTCTGAGAAAAATGGGAATTCCAGAACACTTGATTGTACTTTTGTGAAACCTATACTTGGACCAAGAGGCAATTGTCAGAACAGGAAGGAAACAGTGCATGGTTCAAAATTGGGAAGGGTATGCATCAAGGATATGTGTCTTACCTCCATATCTTTTCAATCTGTATGCGGAACAGATTGTCCAGGAGGCTGGGCTCTATGAGGAGAAGTGTGGCATCAAAACTGGAGGTAGACTCATCAACAGTCTTCATTATGTAGATGACACATCCCTGCTTGCTGAAACTGAGGAGGACCTGAAGCACTTGTTGCAGAAGGTCAAGGACTGTAGCCTTCAGTATGGATTGAAGCTCAACATCAAGGAAACAAAGATTCTCACCACTGGGCTGATTGGCAGCATCATGATGGATGATGAAGAGACACTTTTGGTACTAGCAGGCAGGAAATTTAAAAGACGAATTGCATTGGGAAAGGCTGCTGTCAGAGAATTCTACAAAGTACTGCAGTGTCAGTCTGGAGACTAAGGTGTGCCTGCTATAGGCCATGGTCTTTTCAATTACTTGCTATGCATCAGAGAGCTGGACAGTGACTAGGGGTGATAGAAGGAGAGTTGATGCCTTTGAGCTTTGGTGCTGGAGAAGAGTATTGAATATACCATGGACTCCTAGGTGAACAAACACGTTGGTCCTGGAGAGGGTGAAGCCAGGCTGCTCCTTAAAGTCCAAAATTTTGTAGCTTCATCTAACATACTTTGGGCATGTTCTAAGGCAGGGTAAGTCCTTGGAGAGGGACAGTGCAGGAGAGGAAGACCCTCAATGAGATAGATTGATTTAGTCACTGGGGTAATGGGGATAGACTTGTCATAGGCAACAAGATTGGCAAGGGATAGAGCAGGGTTTAGGGCTGTTGTACATGAGTTTGCTGTAAGTTGCAGGCGACTCAACTGCACATAACAACAAGAACCCCTGGCAAGAGTGTTCCAGCAGCCTAGTCTCTAGGCCAAATGATAAACCTCTGGTGGTTCTAGTCCACAGATGTCTCCAGAAAAGAAAAACCATCTCCAGTGTGATTTACAGGCTCAGAAACCCCACGAAAGAATAGTTAGTTGTAAGTCAGTTTCAGATTCCTAGGGAATAAGCTTGACTTTCAGAGTGGCTAGGATTTGTCCCCTCATACCTGATTGAATAATGGGAATTTGAAGAGATAGTTTATGCTATGAGTTTAGTTGTATGTCCCAAAAAGATGTGTTGTATTAAGAAATGGATTTTTTTTTCTTTTTTACAATTACGTCAATGAGGCTATATTGCAGGGAGTGTCTTAAGCCAAGCTTGTTAGGCCAACAGCAGGGAGCTGGAAGAGGGGCAAGTACCACATGAAGAACACCGAGGAGTAAGGGTCTGCCCCAGAGCCAGCCAGCACCCTAAATTCAGACTTGTAGCCTCTTACACTGAGATGATAAATTTGTTTGTTAAAGCTACCCATTTGTTTTGTTTATTTTACAGCAACACTAGGTAACTAAAACTGAAGTTAAAATCAAAGATTGGTTGACTAGTATTTCAAAAGGAGCTGCTGTAAAAAGTAGGGTTTTAGAACGTCAAAAGTACAAGGGGGAAAGGTAGTATGAAGAATGAGAAAAACTTGGATAAAGTAGATTGGTGTGAGATTTCACATGCTATCTTACTTATTTCTTTTTTTTTTTTAATAAAATTAATTTTAATGAATGTTTACAGAGATTTTGGATTTTCCATACATTCATTGTTGCATTTTTCTCCCTGCCCACCCTTCCCCAATTCACAGTTCTCTTTGAAAAGTAAAAGAAAAATTATTTCATTGGTATAAAATCCCACCCCCTCCCTGAATACACTCCACTCCACAACCTTTGTTCTGGATTCTTGTCATAACCATAATACCCAATCATATATCAATTTCAAACAGTTCTCTCCCTCATCTATTTCAATGTAGTATACATAATTTATCCATTTTTTCTCAGTCTCACGCCAACCCTGATGTCAGTCCCATTCTACAATAGTGGCACCATGCAGCACCTGTCCTTTTGTGACTGAGATATTTCCCTCAGGAGAATGTCCTACAAGGTGACCCATTTTGAATAATATTGCATGAGTTCCTTGTTTTTCAGTGCAGTATAGTATTCCACTGTGTGAGTATTCCACAGCTTCTCTATCTATTTGTTTGTTGAACTCTTTGCTATTGTGAACAGAGCTGCAATAAACATGGGTGTGCATATATCTATGGTTTCTTTAGAGTATATTCCCCTAATGGAATCGCTGGGTCAAATAATATTTCTATTTGCAACTTTTTTTTACATTTACAGAGATTTTGGCTTTCTGTTCATTCATTGCTGCACTTCTCTCCTGCCCAGCCCTCCCCCTCCCCATTTGCAACTTTTTGAGAGAACACCATACAGCCTTCCATAGTGGTTGCACCATTTTACACTCCCACCAACAGTGAATAAGGGTTCCACTTTCTCCGCAACTTCGCCAGCATTTGTTGTTTGCTGCTCTGTTAAATTTTGCTAGTCTTACTGGGGTGAGATGATACCTCATAGTTGTTTTGATTTGCATCTCTCTTAGAGCTAGGGATTTTGAACATTTCTTTATGTATTTGTTGGCCATTTGAATGTCTTTGAAGTGTCTGTTCATATCCTGTGCCCATTTTTCAATTGGGTTATTTACCTTTATCTTGTGGTGCTCGAGTGTTTTATAAATTCAGCATATAAGTCCCTTATCTGACAAGTCATTACCAAATACTTTTCCCCAATCTGTAGCTTCTCTTTTTACTCTGTTGAAGTTTTTAGATATGCATTGTCTTATTTCTTACTATACTATTTTCCCCTAGAATGAAAAAGGCGCACAAATTAAAATATTTTGATTGCTTGATTAGTTTGATTTTTTTTTTTCCCCCTTCAAGTTGGAGACATGATTTGATGTAAATGATATAGAAATTGGCAAGTAGTTAAGAATATATTTCAAACTCCTTTAGGAAGAGGAAAATCAGAATCTCTCAGGGTCACAGTGTTACAGGGTTAAGTTCATAGTGAACCTTAAGTAAGTGAAGTTAAGTAAGAAGTTAAAAGTTAATGGTGACTTTTAGTAATGGACTTCTTAGATGTTTTGCCTAAGGTTGGCCCTCAGCTTTAAGATAATATGAAGCTTCATCATCTTTATATAAGTAAAATGTGCTACTGAAAAAACTCATTGCTGTCAAGTTGGGACCAATTCATAATTGACTCTCCAACAGGTTTTTGGAGGCTGTAAATTGAATAGGAAGAGATGACCTACTTTTCTCCTGCATACCCACTAAAGATTCAAGAGGACTAGAGAGATAACATTTGGTTAAGTAAGGCAGCTTCCTGTGGCTACACCACCAGAGCTCCTTAAAATGTGTTACAGGATTAGTTACACTGATTTGATAATTTAGTTTCGAAATGCTAAGTATTAATGAGAAAAATGCACTTATTGTTAGGTCCCATTGAGTCAGCTCTGGCTCACTGTGAGATGATGTACAACAGAGAGAAGAAGCTTAGTCCTGTGTCATCTTCACCATCTTTGCTCTGCTTAAGCCCATTGTTGCAGTATTTTTTTCAGTCCATCTCTTTGATCATTTTAGCTATACTACTACTAAAGCAAGTTTGTTCTTTTGACAGTCCATGGTATATTCCTTATTGTCAGCATCACAATTCAAAGATGTTATTTTCTCCTTTGATTCTTTTCCAGCTTCCATATACATTTGAAACATTTGATAATACTGTGTCTGGGTCAGATTCACCTTAGTCCTCAAAATGATACTACTCTTTATCACTTTAAAGATGTTTTTAGCATGATGATCTTACTTTTCCACTTACTGTTCTTTCCTTTGAGATATAATCCACTTTAACAGAATGTGCTCTTGAAGCTTTATCATTAAGTGGTGCTACCCCCTCCACCCTCTGCTGCAAGTAATCAAGAATGCATAGTGTTAATAAAAATTTTTAGTGAGTCTTCCTCCAATCTTGATTCCATGTTCTTTATCTCTTCTGAGATTTATTTGCTGAATATCCAGATTGGATATGTATAGTGAAAGCATGTAACTCTGATACATTATTTATTCCTGGTTTTAAATCACCCAGTATCCCTTTGTTTTTTTCAAATGACGGCTTAGTGATCTGTATATAAGTTTGACTTGAGCACAGTTAAGTTTGGGATTTACATTTGTTTCAAAGTTATTCATGGTTTATTGTGGTCTGCATGGTCAAATGTCTTTGTATAGTCAATAGAATGCAGGTAAGGTTTATTCTAGTATTCTCTGCTTTCAGCCAAGATCAATATAATCAGTAGTCATCTCTCTTGTTCCACATACTCTACAGAAATACAGCTTGAGTTTCTGATAGTTCCCTGTTGGTAGATTGTTCTGTCCCTTTTTAATTGAGCTCTGGTGAAATCTGCCCCATCAGAGTGACCCTGCTGGTATTATTGATGGCATACCAACATGTAAGTCATCATTGTATGACAAACTGATGACTGTTGGAGAGAAATGATGTTGTAAATTCCTCAAAAGGGAAAATAGGTAATAAATACCCCAAAAGCACACAAGCTTTGAAACTTAATCTACCAATTAATGGGAACTCTGGATTGACATTCTTCTCTAGGATCAGTCAAGAGTTGCTCATTTTGCTTTGTTTTCATATCTCTGTGTCCTTTGTTTTGTATTTTACTAGGCCTGTGATAGACTTTTGGCTCATCGAGTTGAAACCAAAATGAAAGGAAATAAAGTGAATGAGGTGCTGAATAGATTGCACTTAGCTGTACCAAACAAAAGAGATGATAAGGTAAGATTACCTTTTTAGAATGCCTTCTTTATAAGAGCACTATGTGGCTGATTCAGGGCTAGTTGATGCTTTTTTGCATGTTTTCTCCTCTAGGGATTATGTTGTTGTTGTGTGCTATGTGTATTACATAAATTGTTTCATTCCTAACTAAGTATATAAAATTTGGTGTTAAAAACCTGCATCTCACAATATTGAGATAATTACCAGTTCTTTTTATTTATTCCTTTTAGAAATCTTTTTGATAGATATTTAACCATTCAGACTACTTAAGTTTATAGTAACCTTAGGTGCTTCTCAGACCAGCAGTATTCTCACAATCTTGGGCATGTTCAGTCCATCATCATAGATGTTGCACTGACCTATGCCACTGAAAGTCTTTTTTTGCCCTTATTGGTCCACTACTTAAAAAAGCATGGCTTCCCCTTCTAGTTGCTGTTGCCTTTTTTAAAAATGAAACATAGCCAATTTTATTCAAATCCTTCAAAATATATACTCAGCTTGTTGTTTCTGAAATGTATACTGTACATAATGATTTTATTAGTTTTCTCATCTCTTTTTCTTTAAAAATTCTTCAGTAGAAGCCAAAGTCTTAAGTTGCCCAGTTAGGAGCCTCTGACCTACTATTCTATTATGAATCTTTTCAGTATTCATGGCCAAGATCTGGCTTCTAAAAGAAAGGCTTTTGATCTTTTCAATCACTTGTGGATAAGGTGAGACTGCATTGTTAACCATAGTTACATGACCTAATTTTGAATCAATCTTGGCATTTCTAATTGAATTCACAATCCGCCTTTCAGCTTCTTCTGGGGTCTTGTTCACTTTATCTGCCAGTATGTTAAAGCTGATAACACTGATGAATGCCACAGAATGTTTTAAATATGAAGAGATAAGCATTTTCAAGGAAATCCTCAAGATAAGCCACCAAAAAAAAAAAGTCATTCACAAGTACTGATTCACATTTCCTTAGTTATTTCTGAGCTCCATCAAAGCCAAAGTTAACATACTCTGTAATTGTAAATGTGTAAGATTCGTGCTGAATAGCCTTGACTAGATCTTTGTTATGACTGCTGTAGTCAGCTAGCGGAGAATAATGTGGACACATTGTCTTGAGTTTCATTAAGATACTGTGACTGGTAAAGACAGAGATCAATAATGTTATCTTGACCTTTGAAGTGGTTGAAGAAAACAAAGAGAGACCAGTGAATGAGCCATGTTTGCTGCTGAAGAGACTATAGTGGAGAATTCACAGAGTTACATATTGTGGCTAAAGAGACTGTAGTGGAGAATTCACAGAGTTACATATTTTCTTTTTTGATTGTGTAAGGTCTTCCCTGGCTGCATCCAGTTCAGCATTAAGATTTCGGAGGCCAGTTTTCCCCAAAGCATTTCTGTCTGTTGCTGGAAACACCACTCTAAAAAAGTAGATATTCTGCTCCTCCTGAGTAATTACCACATTCATATTGGAATTTTGCATATCTGTAGAGAGTATTTAGAAGTATTCTTGCCTAAAACCGTGTTTGTCTGCCAGGTAGTCAAATAGCATTTAACCGTCCCTGCTTGACTTCATTTGTCTTGTAGTTTCTTGGTATTCAAACATCTTCACAATTGGTTCTGTCTCTGTCTGCAGTTGTTTTAGTTGTGCAACAACTGTGATTCTTTATTTCTCTCAAAGCATGAAGAATATCATGGGAAATAAAGATTTTTGTAAACTTTTATGGCATAGTCTATCATGTTGGGATTGCTAAGAATATCCAGTTTCCCTTGTAATAATTGCTTCCTTTTCATTATATATCTCCTTCATGGAGAGAAACTCAAGCAGCAAAAAAGACCAGATGCTGATCCAAAAAGCACATGCTGAGAGTAGTCAAGTCATTTTCCACCATCTTGCCAAGAAAAAGGAGCATCTTTGCTTGTCAAAACTTTATTGGCCACTGCCTCTTGATGATGTGTGCAAAGCGAGTTCTGCTGTGATTTGTAAGGCTAGTTTTTGGAAGTAGGTTTTTGGGCCTTTCTTCCTAGTATTTCTTAGTCTGGAAGCTTTGCATAAACCTGTCTGCTATTGGTGACCCTGTTGCTTATTGTAATACCAGTGCCATAACTTCCATCATCGGTGTCCTCAGATCAGCTCAGATTCATGGCCTAAAACAGGACAAAACCCTGCCAAATTTGTGCCATTTTTGCAATCTCTTCTGTGCTTAAGCTCATCATTGCAATCACTGTGTTGTTCTGTCTTGTTGGTGCCTCCCTTTCCTTTGCTAATCCTTTGGTTTGCCTAGGAAACCACCAACGAGACAAGCCAACAAACAGACTAATGCTACTTTTAAACTGTAAGCCTACTAAAAGAATAGATTTTTAAAATACTAACAGAAGTGTGTTATGATCTCTTTAAGATTTCCATTATATCTTTACAATATTTAGTGTACTGTCATATATACACATGAAAGTGCAGCTCGTAATCCATTGTGTTGTCTGCAATAAAACAGTCCTCTCTCATTTCTGATTTCTTAGAGATAACAGAATGGCATTGGATAGGTTAAGGGTTCAGATATTTTTCATAGAGTTGTATTTGACTCAGTGACATCTGTTAGGAAAACTAGTTGGAGAATATATTTTTCTATGTGTTTTACAAAGTTGCTATCACAAGTGGTTTAAGATCATGTCTAAAGAAGAGGAAACAAGCTGTGGGGGCACAGGGCTTGTGAGTGTCTTTCTGAAAGTGCCAGAGGGAGTAAGAATATCACAGCTCCTCACTGCCCCAGAACAGAAAACAGATAAAGAACCCATAGCCCAGCCCCATGGTGCCTTTAGAACAGCAGCAGAGGTTCATTATTCATTGCTGACTCAGAGACTCACAGTTAGGGTACCAGCAATGGGGTTTATTAGGGAAATGAGTAGGAGAGGTAAAGAATATCTCACAATGCAAGTCCAGGCTTTAGCCTAACAGTTCAAGGCACAATTCCTCAATAAGCTCAGGCTGTGGTTTTAGTTCAGCAGTCAGATCCAAATCATCCAGCAAAGTTTGTGTCAGAGTAGTTATAAGTTAGCTGCTCCTTCCTGGTAAGAACAGCCAAACCTTTTAACTCTGACCCAAATGCAAAAAACCTGAGATCACACCTTGCCACAGTATCTCTACCACCAGAGTCTTGCCACAAGCCTTCCTTGCCTCAGATCTTTCTGCCCAATGTGAGAAGCACTGTTTCTCTTATACTAGTCCCACGGGTGATGCCGATTTGCAACCCTATGCTGACTGGCAAGACCACATGTAGTTGAAGACCAGAGACAACTAACTAATGACTAAAAGAAACCAACTTTTACAATAATACCACAGATAGTTTCATTGTTGTGCTTTATTTTCCTACTGGCTTATGTAATTGTAAATTTTTCATAGGCTTACTATTAGCAGACTTAAGGGAAAAAATCAGAGAGAACAAAAGAAAGCTTAATGCAGCTTTATTAAAGGGAGGTTTAGGGGAGCTCCCAGGTGAAGTTACTCATTCTGGGGATGCAGAATGATGAAGTCACGCTCTGAACTTATTGGGGAGAGTTTTTATAACAGAGTCTTTAGGGACAGACATTTCACTCTGATTCATGATCCACCTGCTAGCTCAGCCAGGAAGGCAAGGCCTTTTGCTCTTCTTACCAGCAGCAGGCAAGGCTGTCAACGTTTGAATTCTGAATGCTTCTTCTCTTTGGTTTCTTTGTCTGGACTTAACGTTGTCTAGACTTAACATCCTAGCCTTTTTAGTGATAAAACAGGGTGACATACCTTTCTTTTGACCACTTCCTGCTGAACGGGGCAAAAATTTAGGGGCTCAGAGGCTGGAGTAAGTTGGTCCAGGATTAGTGAGTGACCTGGGGAGAATTAAGTTGTTCATCTTGATCCTGTGAAGTAAGAACTTAGAGACAAGGAGCAATTATTAACAATATGCTTATGATTACTGTTGGTTTTAGAGAAGGAAGAATTTAAGCTAGAAATGGGTTTTTGAGTTAATTTGGGAGAAGGCTTGTGGTTGAATTCTGTATAGAGTCTATAAGTGTTATCTTGGTTCTGCTACAGTGGGCTGGTTTATGCTAACATTGTGTTCAGTTCTCATGTTCTATTGCAGAGAGTGCTAGATGTGAGAGGGCTTAGTCTGCTTATCAGGCTCTGGTTCTCTACCTTTGAATGGTAGAACACTCAGTTTGGGCTGATGGAATGGCTTGAGGTGTTTTGGTGGTGTGTGGTCTAGAGAAATTGCTTGATATTGCTGCTAGCAAAGGTAAAGAGGCACACAGGGAAAAATGGGAAAGGCTGGTCACTATTTGACTTTGCTTAAGGAATAGTAAGGTGCTCTGGATAATTTGGACTTGAGTTGGGGCCTGCATAGTTGGTGACTTCCCAGAGACTTGTTCTAGTATTGACTGCTTAGCTTGGAGAATGCCATTGGAGACTTGTACTTAGGTGTTGGCATCTAGAGTGTACTCTTTGATTATGTGTATTGTGCTAGAGGGCAAGGAACTACATCTTGTAGGATATAGTTGTGTTTTTTTTTTAACTCTAGCTTGCCACAGGGCATTTCAGGAGTTTGAGATAAAATTAGGTAGAAGTTTGTTGGGGGTTTTTTTGGGTTTAATAGAAAAATTTGGTATAATAAATGTTACCGATTTTTCATGACTAATGTGGTCAACTTGTGTCAGTTTTTTGGTTATTTTTGATAGTATGAGTGAATTTGGTTATATAAGAAGTAAGCAAAGGGTCATTTATAGGATGAAACTGCTTTAGGTAATATTGACATGGTGATTGTTGTTTGGTATCTGTTGAGAGCAATCTGCTGAGCTAATGAGGTGTATGTTTGGAGTAGACTGCTGTGTGGAAGTTTTTTAGGGCTTAAGTGCTGAGTGAAGCAAAGAGTAGTAGGACTTACCATTTAAGAGGTGTAGGAAATTCTCTCAGTGAGGGGAGCATGTTTGACTTGAGATGGGTGGTGTTAATGGGGGTTACTTATATCCTTAACAGCTGT